TTCCAACCCCAGCAGTCTGTGATTCTGTGATTATCTGTGCAGCCCTCGAACACCTGCTCGGGGATGGAGCATTGCCATGGCTGGTAGGAGATTGGTTGGGTTTTTTTCCCTCTCCTCCCATCAACTCAGCACCAACATGAGGGGGTTTTTTTGCACCATCAGAAGCTCACTGCTCTCAGAAGGAACAGCGATACGCAGTGTTGCTGCTCCTCCTAGGAGGCTGAGGGAAGTAGAAATAGGTCCAGGGTGAGTGTTACTGTTGCTGTGACACCCAGATAGTGGAGGGAGGAGATTGTGGTGGTGGAGTGAGCCTGGAAGTCGCGCTTTGTCTTCCTGTCCTGGCAAACCTAGAGGCTGTTACTTCCCTGTGCGAGTACTGGGGGGTTGGTGCCGTGTGCTTGCTGCGTATGGAGCCAGTGTTGGGAGATGCATTCTCTCTTTTTAGAAAATCAACGAAAAACCGCAAGTTATTGCTGACTATGAGTCCGGAAGAGCAATCCCCAATAACCAGGTTATGGGCAAGATCGAAAGAGCCATCGGTAAGTTAAGAAGGGGGGCTCAAAAAATAATGACAATGTTTTCTGTGCCCAGGAGGGATGTTTTAGTCGGAGTTACTTATTTTTCCCATGTCAGGAGCAGTTGCTGACTGTCGGTTCTTGTGGGTGGGATGTCGTTAAGCTGTGTTCTGATAAAACTTGGATCTGCTGACTGAAACCAGAACTCTTGTTCTCCTTTGGTCTTCATCTTTTTGCGTGGGGCCGTGCCCTGGGGACCAGCCCTTTGTGCTGCTCCCTCCAAAATGAACCAGAAGCCGAGACCCCTGAAGGCCACATTATACTTGGGGAAAGAATGTCCTGCAGCCTCTGTAGTTGATGTTACTCTCCCAGGCTGGTTCAGATACCGTGTTCTAGGAAGGTAGTTGGTGCACGAGCAAGAATTGCAGCTTTGCCTGAAACTAGTCTGGGGCTCATAGAAACTAAAGCTGGATCTTCCCCAACTCTGGTTCCCCTACTCGCTTGTTTTGGAGTAAAAAATGGAGGAAAAACATAAAGTTATGGGGTGAATGATCAAATGCTGATGGTGGTCGTTTCCTTTTGTCTTATTCCAGGCCTTAAACTGCGTGGGAAGGATATTGGAAAACCGCTGGAAACCGGCCCCAAAGGGAAATGACAACAAAGCCTCGAAATCAGTTTGTTCAGACTGATCTCGTCTGGCTGGTTCTCCTTAACCACCGGAATCTCTCTTCGTATTGCCAAGCTGAACAAGAGGGTTTCAGACTTGCTTTGGGGGGGAAATCTGCCGAATCTGTACCTGCTGTAAAAAGGCAACCTTAAAGAAGCGATTTTCCTGATTTTGTTTTTCCTTCCTCCTTTCCAGAGATTGAGGGACTAAACCTTAACAAAAAGAAAAAAATCCCAAACAAAAAAAAATGCAGCTGATTTGCCAGAAAACACGCGTGTCTTGGTCTTTAGAAGCAGCGAATGTTAAGACACTCGGGGTGATCCGAAACAGGATTGTTTGATTGGAACACTTCGGGGGGATGGGTGGGATTCTGTATAAATAATTCGGGAGCGTCGGGGCTTGATCAGTGTCTGCATTTGAAGCGATGACTCAGTCGCTGCATCACGATGACGTTTTTGTTTGTTCCTTCCAGCCTGTTTTAAAGAGATCTATAATAAAGTTTGATACCCTTTAGTTGCACAGGGCAGTCGCTGCGTGGTTACTGGCTGGGAGTGAGCTTTTTCGTGCTTGGGTGTGACTGGAGCTGCAGCACCCTCCTCCTCCTCCTGGAAGCAGAATTCCCGGGGCTGTGGGGCACGCATGGGGTGAGAGCTTTTTTTTCCCGGTGCTGCCACAGCCTTCCTGGCTGCTCCGCGCCCAGCCCCGGTGTGAGGACTGCAGCTCTGGCTCGCAGCCCAGAGATGAAGTCAATCCTGTGGTTTTATCTCGTGTGGAGGTGAGTGGAGGCTCCAGTTCCGCAGAGCGAGGCGAGTGTGGAAGGCGCTCAGGCAGAGCCCGAGCTCTCCTTATCTCTCTCCTCCCCGTGGGCTCGTTCCTGCGTGGCGCTGCCGCGACAGCGGAGCCGTGGGGACGGCGCTCAGCGTGGGTGTGGC